TTTATCCACCCCCCTTCCATCTCCCCCATTTATCCACCCCCCTCTTCCATTCCCCCATCTTCCCATTATCCACCCCCCTTCTATCTCCCCCATTTATCCACCCCCCTTCTATCTTTCCCCCATTATCCACCCCCCTTCTATCTCCCCCATTTATCCACATCCCTTCCATCTCCCCATTTATATCCACCCTTCCATCCCCACATCTTTATCACAGCATCCCTTCACATCCATCCTCGCGCCATTTATATACCACCCCATCTCCCCCACTTTATCCACCCCGGACCAGTATCCACCCCCCTTCTATCTCCCCATTTTATCCACCCCCTTCTATCTCCCCCATTCTATCTCCCCATTTATCACCCCCCTTCTATCTCCCCCATTTAATATGCCTATCCCCCCATTATCCACTCCCCTTCTAATCAATCCCCCCATTTATCCACCCCCGCTTCCCTTACATTATACCACGGCGCCCCTTCTATATCCCCATTTATATTATTCTGCCACTCCACCCCCCTTCTATCTCCCCATTTATCCACCCCCCCTCCATCTCCCCCATTTATCCACCCACCCTTCATCTCCCCCATTTATTCTACCGTTCCCCCTCTTGCTCTTCCCCCCCCCCAGGTCTACCCGGCGATGCAGGTATCGCCCCGGCCTCCCTGCCCCCGGGGACTGGTGGGGGCCCCGGGGGAGGAGGGCAGGGGTTCCCGGGACCTCGTGGACGCGGTCGGCCTCGTGGGGGGAGAGAGGGGTCCCCGGCCTGCCTGGGGTCAACGGCAAGAAGGTAGTCATTTTATGAGGATATTTTGATGATTCTAAGATAATTTTTAAGAAAGGATTTTATTAAAAGGGATTTATTAGGTGATTTTTGGAGGATTTTTTATATTTTTAAAGAGGATTTTGGGAGTTTTTTTAGATATTTTTTTAAGAAGGGGTTTTGGAAGGATTTAATGAAGGATTTATTGAAGGAATGCTGATGGCCCCTCGTGGGGAGAGAGGGGTCCCGGCCTGGCCTGGGGTCAACTGGCAAGAAGGTAGGATTTTTTAAAGGATTTTTTAAGAGGTTTTTTGATTTTTTTAAAAGGTATTTTTAAGAAAAGAAGAAAGGATTTTTTGGAAGGATTATTTGGAAATGAAGTTAATGTTGATAGCCTCGGTGGGGAGAGAGGGGTCCCCCGGCCTGCCTGGGTCAACGGCAAGAAGGTAAAAATTTTTAAAGGATTTTTGAATGTTTTTAAGAAGAGGATTTATTAAGGGATTTTTTGGGAGGATTTTTTAGAATATTTAGGAGGATTTTTGAATATTTTTACAGGATTTTTAAGATGTTTGAAGAGGATTTTTGGAGGATTTATTTAAGGATTTTTGAAGGATTTTAAAAAGGATTTTTGGGATTTTGAAAAGGATTCATTAAGATTTTGGAGGATTATTTTTTGGAGGATTTATTGAAGGATTCAACGGCAAGAAGGTAGGATTTTTTTAAAAAGGATTTTTTGGAGGATTTTTGAATATTTTAAGAGGTGTTTTGAAGTTTTTGGAGGAAAATTTGAAGAGAATTTTTGAAGGATTTTTAAAATATTTTTATGAGGATGAGGTATTTAAGAGGATTTTTTTTTTAGATATTTTTAAGAGGATTTTGGAGGATTTGAAAAGGATTTATTAAGAGGATTTTTGAAGGATTTTTAAAGGAAAATTTGAAGGATTTATTAAGTGATTTGTTAAAGGATTTTTTGCAGGATTTATTTTTAAAAAATTGATGGTCAATGACAAGAAGGTAGGTAATTTTATGAGGATTTTTGAAGGATTTTTGGAGGATTTATTAAAATATTTTTTTCAGGATTTTAAAGGATTTTCAAAGAATTTATTAAAATATTTTTTTCAGGATTTTAAAGGATTTTCAAAGAATTTATTAAAATATTTTTTTTTTTCAGGATTTTAAAGGATTTTTAAAGAACTGAAAAAAAATATTGGAAGGATAATTTCAAGATTTTCCAAGGACGAAATGGGGTGAAGAAAAAAAAACAAATTTAATCAACTTCTACCCTATTTTTGATTAATTTTATCACCTATCTAAACCGATTATATCCTTTCCTCTCCATTCCCAACCCGATTTCAACCATTCCTCCCCGATTTATAACCGATTTTCACCCTTTTTCCAAGGCGAAGATGGGGCGCCGTGTCTCCCCGGAACAGCTCCCCCAAAGATAGAAAAAAAAACAAATTTAATCAACTTCTACCCTATTTTTGATTAATTTTATTACCTATCTAAACCAATTTTATAATTTCCTCTCCATTCCCAACCCGATTTCAACCATTCCTCCCGATTTATAACCGATTTTCACCATTTTTCCAAGGGCGAGATGGGGGTGATGTGTCTCCCCGGAACAGCCTGTATTCGAGGCGGGGATCTTGGAGCTGTTCTAACCACCCTTTCCCTCCCTCCCCCAAAGGAAGAAAAAAAACAAATTTATCCACTTTCTAACCAATTTTGATTAATTTTATCACATATCTAAACCGATTATATCCTTTCCTCTCCATTCCCAACCCGATTTCAACCATTCCTCCCCGATTTTTAACCGATTTTCACCATTTTTCCAAGGCGAGATGGGGGCGCTGTGTCTCCGGAACAGCCTGTATTCGAGCGGAGATCTTGGAGCTGTTCAAACCACCCTTTTCCCTCCCTCCCCCAAAGAAGAAAAAAAAGACAAATTTATTCCACTTTTAACCGAATTTTGCGTAACTTTTATCACGTTCCTAAACCGATTATATCCTTTCCTCTCCCTTCCCACCCCGATTTCAACCCTCCCACCCCGATTTCTAACCCAATCCCCCCCTTTTCCCCAGGGCGAGATGGGGGCCATGGGTCTCCCGGGAACAGCCGGCATCCGAGGCGAGCCCGGTGACGCTGGACTCCCTGGACCTCACGGAGGGGAGTTAGTCGGGCCTCGAGGACCGGACGGGAGGGTCGGCCTCAAGGGGCAGCGCGGAGAGGCCGGACGCTTCGGAATCGCGGGTAAGGAGGAGGAGGAGATGAAGGAGGGGATAGAGGGAGAGGGGGGTGAGAAAGAGGGAGGGAGAGAGAGAGAGGAAGATGTATATATATATATATATATATATATATAATATATATATATATATATATATATATATATATATATATATTATATAATATATATTCTGTGTGTGTGTGTGTGTGTTTATAGAAGAGAGAGAGAGAGAGAAGAGGAAGGGAGAGAAGAGAGAGAGAGAGGAGATAGAGGTA